CCTGAGACCTGGCACTTCAAGAACAAGAGGTCATAAATTTAAACTAGCTAAACACAGATGCCGAAGAAATATAAGAAAATTCACCTTCGCAAATAGAGTGGTAGACGGTTGGAACAAGTTAAGTGAGAAGGTGGTGGAGGCCAAGACCGTCAGTAGTTTCAAAGCGTTATATGACAAAGAGTGCTGGGAAGACGGGACACCACGAGCGTAGCTCTCATCCTGTAACTACACTTAGGTAATTACACTTAGGTAATTACACACACACACACACATACATTAACATAAGACGAACATCGGAAAGGGACTATGAGAACGATATTGCAATCAAAGCGAAAAAACAACCTAAGTTACTACACAGTCATATAAGAAGAAAAATGTCGGTGAACGACCAAGTGACAAGACTAAGGAAGACAGAGGGGGCATATACTGAAAGTGACAAGGAAATCTGCGAGGCACTGAATGCCAGTTTCCATGGAGTGTTCACTACCGAGCCTGAGCAGCTCCCATTGTTGGAAGGGGTTACCCTAGATGAAAGACTATCAGATATAGAGGTGACAGCAGAGGAGGTAATGAAACAGTTGACAACTCTAGATGCAACTAAAGCAGTTGGACCAGACAAAGTATCACCGTGGATACTAAAAGAAGCAGCGCAGGCCCTCAGCGTGCCTCTGGCAATGATCTTTAATGAGTCACTTATGTCGGGAGAATTGCCCAGTTGCTGGAAGAAGGCAAATGTTGTGCCGATCTTCAAGAAAGGTGATAGGGAGGAGGCACTTAACTATAGACCTGTATCACTGACAAGCATCCCCTGTAAAATACTGGAAAGAATAATTAGGCTACGACTGGTTGCACACCTGGAGAACATTAGGTTTGTGAACAAACATCAACATGGGTTCTGGACAGGGAAATCATGCCTAACAAACCTTCTGGAATTCTATGATAAAATAACGAGGATAAGACAGGACAGAGATGGTTGGGCAGACTGCATATTTCTGGACTGCCAAAAAGCCTTTGATACAGTACCGCACATGAGACTGCTGTTTAAGCTCGAGAGGCAGGCGGGGTTGGGGGGAAAGGTCCTAGCATGGATAAGGAACTACCTAAGAGGAAGGAGCCAAAGAGTTACGGTAAGGGGCGAGAAGTCGGACTGGCGAACAGTAACAAGTGGAGTACCACAAGGATCGGTGCTGGGACCAATTCTATTTCTTGTATATGTTAACGACATGTTTACAGGCGTAGAGTCCTACATGTCGATGTTTGCGGATGACGCAAAGTTGATGAGAAGAGTTGTGACAAGTGAGAATTGCAGGATCCTCCAAGAGGACCTGAACAGGTTGCAGAGATGGTCAGAGAAATGGCTACTTGAATTCAACACGAGCAAATGTAAAGTTATGGAAATGGGACTAGGAGATAGGAGACCAAAGGGACAGTACACAATGAAGGGGAACAGCCTACCTGTGACAACGCGCGAAAGAGACCTGGGGGTGGACGTAACACCTAATCTATCTCCTGAGGCACATATAAATTGGATAGCAGCATACTCTACACTGGCAAAAGTTAGAACATCATTCAGAAACCTAAGTAAGGAGGCATTTAGGGCGCTTTACACTACCTACGTGAGGCCAGTCTTAGAGTATGATGCCTCATCATGGAGTCCCCATCTGAAGAAGCATATAATGAAACTTGAAAAGGTTCAGAGGTTTGCAACGAGACTCGTCCCAGAGCTACGAGGGATGGGGTATGAGGAGCGCCTGAGGGAACTGTGCCTTACGACACTAGAAAGAAGAAGGGAGAGGGGGGACATGATAGGAACGTATAAGATACTCAGAGGGATTGACAGAGTGGACATAGACGAAATGTTCACACGGAATAGTAACAGAACGAGGGGACATGGATGGAAGCTTGAAACTCAGATGAGTCACAGAGATGTTAGGAAGTTTTCTTTTAGCGTGAGAGTAGTGGGAAAATGGAATGCACTTCAGAAACAGGTTGTGGAAGCAAATACTATTCATAATTTTAAAACCAGGTATGATAGGGAAATGGGACAGGAGTCATTGCTGTAAACAACCGATGCTCGAAAGGCGGGATCCAAGAGTCAATGCTCGATCCTGCAGACACAACTAGGTGAGTACAACTAGGTGAGTACACACACACACACACACACGAGTATTGTTCACATGCTGCACGTCATACAGTTACAATTATGCAACATGATGTGGAAGTGACCAAAGGCTGTAGTTATTGTAATATTTCAGTTTCACGAGCATTGATGGAAAATAACGAGAATTTGATATCATTAGTGTACGGCAACATGCTAAATGGCCAAGGATATATATTTTACAAGAGTATGTGTTCTATAAATTTAATGAAATTTGTGTCACAGGAGGTGTATACCAGGTACCAGAAGAAGATAAGAGATGCTGTCTCTTATCTTCTGCTGCTAATAGGAGATGGGTGCATGTGCAAGAAAACATTCGGACTACAATATTAAAACATTACATAAACCATTTAGACAGACACCCCATTGATGGCTTCCTTGACATTGATGTGTCCTTTGATGGATCTTGGCATACAAGGGGCCATCATTCACAAATTGGCACTTCTTTTGTTGTGAAAATATTCACAGGGATGATTGTGGACCACAATACTTTCAGCAAAACCTGCAAGCAGTGCCAAGCGTTCAAGCATAGTAAACAAACTGTAAAAATAACTCGGGCCTAGTATGACATTAAGATGGCTGAACATTTACCAGATTGTGATAAGAACTATAATGACAGTGTCAAAAATATGGAAGTGGATGCTGCGGTGTTGATGTGGGGTCGATCTCAAAACACCAATCTCAGGTATACGACCTTCGTGGGTGACGGTGACTCTTCTGCATACAATAAAGTTTGAGGAATGAACAATGGTGCTGGACCATATGGAAAAGTAAAGGTGGAAAAGGTTGAGTGTATAAATCCCTTCAGCAAGAGACTTGCAACACAGCTCCGCAACTTCCAGAAATCAGCTGTCGAAGTGAAGGAGTCAAAAGGGAAGACCAGACAAATATCACTGGTCAAAGAAAAATGAGAGCTAAGTGACAAGACCATTCTGAAGCTGGCAGGTTACTCTACAAAAGCCATCAGGGACAACAACAATACGGACTGGAAACAAATAAGGGATGCCTGCCTGTCCGGATTGTTCCATGCAACGTTCACTGATGGAAAGCCAGTGCACGTGCACTGCCCTAAAGGCAAAGACTCTTGGTGTTTCTACTAACAAGACATTGCAAATGAAAAGACCCCACGATCACACAACAAGATGATTGTACATTTCCAGCTACCAAGCAAGCACATCGCTAAAGTCTTGAAGATCTACTACAACCTTGTATTGGAGGAAAACATGACTAAGTGTTTGAAGGGAAAGACTCAAAATCCAAATGAGTCTCTACACCACTGAGTTTGGAAATTAACCCACCACAAAGACAGATTTGTTGGTTGTGTAATGGTTGACTTCAGCATGGCAGTGACACCCATCAACTACAACGCCAGGTATTTGATGGGATCTCTGACCAGCCTTCTTGGTCTACCTCAGAATGATATGACTGATTGGTACTTCAACATTATGTTGATGCCGAAACAAACAAGACGCACCACCAGGCCGAGAAAGGCTCCAGAGGAAGCTGACCCTGGCTATGGGGCAGGTGCCTATAGTGCAATTGGAGTGCCACCTTGAAGACCCATATTTCGGACCAATTATATTAGGTTAGTATGTTTAAGTGTTAAATTTTGATATTACATCATAAATAAATGTAAATATAAATATGCTGGCAAATATAATTTTTTTTTCCTTTTGTTATCAGGCGATTTGCATGGAACTTCCACACCTTACTGAATCCATGCCTCACTGTAAGTGTGCCAATTTTGAAAGAACTCGATAGACATCAACCACAGGTGAGCAAACTCTAACCTTATTTTGTTCAAGTATTTACTTGAACATATTATATATAAGATATATATTATATACTGTAATACATATAAAATATATATATATATATATATATATATATATATATATATATATATATATATATATATATATATATATATATATATATATATATATATATATATATATATATATATATATATATATATATATATATATATATATATATATATATATATATATATATATATATATATATATATATATATATATATATATATATATATATATATATATATATATATATATATATATATATATATATATATATATATATATATATATATATATATATATATATATATATAAAATACATTTTATACATATTATATATATATACATACTATTATACATACGCTCATCAGGATGAAAGTGATTGTTCATCTAGGTTCAATGCAAATAAAGAGCAGACTTCTCTACTTAATTGTACAAATGCAGCTGACACACACACATTAAAATTACTTGTTATAGGCAAAAGTGAAAATCAAAGGGAATTTAAGGGTGTCAAGAATAGTATCCCTGTGATTTATAAGCTCAGCCCAGAGCATGCATGCCTAGAGCAATTTTTTGTGAATGGTTTTTAAGTCATTTCGTAGCGGAAGTGAAAAATCATTTTAAGAGCATTGGTTTACCAGAGAACAGCAAAGTTGTGCTCTTTCTTGATAATAGCTCAACACATCCACTTGAATATGAGCTAGTTAAGGGCAATATGTTTAGTACATTTTTGCCACCCAACACAACCGCCTTGAACCAATGAATGGATCAAAGAATAATTGCGAACCTCAGATTCTACTTTAGAATTGAGTTCGCTTGACATCTTCATGCAAAGAAGGGTATCATCAAGGACTTGTATGAAAACATTTACTATAAAATCAGCTGTATGATGTATTGCACATGCATGGGAAATGGTCAAGCAATCAACCGTGAAGCATGCCTGGAACAAACTTTGGCCCGCAGCTGGCTTATTTCCTGGCGACGGCGACAATGCTGCCGATTTTGAAGGGTTTGGTGGAAAGAAAAATCATTGAGATGAAGAAATTAAGACAAGAACTACTTGCCTATGTTAAAGGAATAAATGAACAGTCCCAACATTCAAGAAATTAATTGATCAGAGCAAATCTTGAGGAAGAAGTGGATGCATGGATTGAGTGTGATCGAGATGTTCCTACAGCACCAAGCATGTCTGATGATGATATCATTAATCTGGTGACAGAAAACAGACAAGTGAATTTTCAGGATTCGGAAGATTCATCAACATCGGAGGAGGAAGACAGAGCAACTCAAGCAAGCATGGCAGAGGTAGAGAAGAGTTTTGAAACCATTTTAAAGTTCATGGAAAGAAGATCTAATGTCAATCTTCAGAGTCTGATGGCAGTTTATAGATTTTACACAGTTTTTCAAAAATACAAAGAGATGGCTAGAGGCAATGAACACTCAAAGATACTTTTGAGAGAGCTTCCAAGAGTGTGTGAACTGAGGCCTCTTGTGTTCCTTCTCTGTGTAACCTTCAACATATACCTCCACCCTCGTGAACAGAGGCCTCTTGTGTTCCTTCTCTGTGTAACCTTCAACATATACCTCCACCCTCGTGAACAGAGGCCTCTTGTGTTCCTTCTCTGTGTAACCTTCAACATATACCTCCACCCTCGTGAACTGAGGCCTCTTGTGTTCCATCTCTGAGTAACCTTCAACATATACCTCCACCCTCGTGAACTGAGGCCTCTTGTGTTCCTTCTCTGTGTAACCTTCAACATATACCTCCACCCTCGTGAACTGAGGCCTCTTGTGTTCCTTCTCTGTGTAACCTTCAACATATACCTCCACCCTCGTGAACTGAGGCCTCTTGTGTTCCTTCTCTGTGTAACCTTCAACATATACCTCCACCCTCAATTAACACTATACTCATCTATCCATCATTCCAAGATCTAATGTGGAGAAACATCTGGACACTTGGTGAGTACCAATATTTATTGTTAGTACTGTTACTGTACTCTACCAATATTTTGTGGTGTTTAGTTTTGTATCTAGTGAAACGATAATGTTTTGTTACATACTTTTGTACATAAAATGATTAATTTTCGTACCGGGGGGAGGAATTTGACTACTTATCCAAACACTACTACATAACCAGGTTAATCACAGTTGGGTGCAAGGTGTCCAGAAGAGAAGATGTTGAGTGTACTCTTGTTACACACACATGCTTCTTATATTATCACTTTCAACTGCTTTAACTCCTGTGTTTCACATTATGCTAAAGCATCACACAACCTGTGACTCAGAGGTCACTACAGTCACCTCAACCAGAAGGCTCAAGTTTGGTCCCTGAGCAAGACAAGATATCAGGGCATGTTTTCTTACACCTGGTACTCTTCTATTCACCTAGCAGTAAGGTAAGTGTTGTGGCTTGAATCTTGGGAATGTATATCACTGGCCTACGAAGACCTCAATAAACCTAACGGGCTTCCTACCACTGACAGATGGAAACCCTGAAAGATATCACCAGCATTTCTTTATGCTGATGTCTGGCTACAACTATGATACAATGTTTCTATCTTGGTCTTCCTATCAGAGCTTTCACTGCATTATCCACTTTCCTTTCCAACTAACCCTATTGTTATCTACAATTATATAACTTACTCTTAAGTAACCATACATGCTAGATATTTAAAGTGATCGACTACATTCAGCACTCCACAATTCATACTTACTGTACTTCATATATTAAATTTTCTTCTCTCCACCACCATAACATTACTTTTGTCCACATTGCCTTATCTCTCTCTTCTCACATGCCTCAATATAATCATAAAGATTAACTTATACCTTTTTTAGTTTATAAATACTATGTAAATAAGTTATTTTTCATAAATATATTATTCATAAACAAATATTATAGGGAGAATATTTTAAATACATTTACTATACAATATAAGGTATTGTGTAAGTAAATGTTGTGTCACAGTGTAGATGGAGACTGATGCATGTGGTATGCTGTGACAAAATGCATTAACAGGGGCAAATTTTGCTAATTCACTAGTTTTCAGACTTTTTTTATAACATTTTATACCATTTCTGAAGGAATTTCCTTCTCTTAAGAAAATGGGATATCTGTCAAAAAGTGTGGGTGCAGTGCTGAGGTAGTTGTGTGTATGAGCAGCAGCTCTACAGCCCCACCTCATACCTACTGTTCCTGCAGTATCTGTAATTACCAATGCTCCAGTACTGTCTTACTTGCTCTTGCAACCTCTCAATGGTGCTCACTTTCACAACCATTGCTTTAAACTTATTCCTCTTATTTACCACTATTACTGAAGGTAAATACTAACATTTCTCTGCTCATCTGTGTTTCCAACTTTCACGTGTGTCCCTTTGTTTTGTTGTCTCTCACCTTGAAAAAGATTGTCTCGGTTCATTTTGTCTACTTCCTCAGTGTCTTGTAGTGTGTGTGATAATATCGACTTTTGTCCCCCCCCCCTTCCTCTCATCTAAAGTTATTAGTTGCAGTTCATTTTACCTCTCCCACTAGAATATTTTCCTATTTTACTACCTGTTTTGTGGAAAATCCATAGACTTTAATTTTCTTCATGTGCTGTATCAGGTGTGGACCCCATGCTGGAGCTGCATACAGTACTCAAGGAGTGGCCTAATACACGACCTGATAAATGTTAACTGACCGGGTAACTGAAGATCCTTTATGATCATATCAATAACACGAGTAGAACCACGTCGTGGCATAGTCGACTTGAGCGTGCATCTGGGAACACCCAGCTCATAGGTTCGAATCCTCATCACGACTCCTGTGGATTTTCTCATTGAGATATCACGATAATGTGATTTCCCTGTGTAATAATATGAGTACTGCACAAATAAAATATATTTATTGAGAATTAAGATTGCTCATGGAAGCACTTCTGTAATTAAGCAAAAGGTCTTCACCAAATGATGGTTCTTTTTCTTTTACATTGCTCATGCTTAAGTATTAATTGGTGATGCTATGGCACCACAAAACAATTGACACTTTCACTGGCCATACTGAGCTAAATATCTACAAAACTAATTAAAACAAGAACCCCTCACGTAGGTAAACCCTTAGAAAGCAGCCATCGTAACACAATGCCACTCAGCCTGTGCATAAATAATAATAATAATAATAATAATAACTGTAATAAATTATTAGAAAACAATTTTTAGCAATACGGATATTTGAACCAGCACTGTAATGACTCTCATATGCCTGCTAAACCCATTCACAGTGCAGTGTTTCTGCAGGACTACTATATAATAAAGAAAGAGAGAAAGAAAAGGAAGAACAGGAGGAGGAGTGGCCCTAACAAGGAAGTGATGGATATCCTGGGCTATGAAGGGTTCAGACTACGTAACAGGCATTATGACAAGAGGAAACCTAAAGTTCCCTCATTGGCACTAAGGTACTATATAAGGTATAAGGTACTAAGGTGATATATAACCCTCCGTTAATGACACAAGACCCAAACAGGAGTATGACAGAAACAACATGACAACCATTAACATAATAGAGAAACTTTGGTCACCTGCAGGAATGGATCCAGACTTTTAATAATGGGAGACTTCAACCAATGAAAAATAGACTGGGAGAACAGAGAACTACATGGAGGTACAGATACATGGAGAGCTATGCTACTGGACATAGTTTAGACATGATGGTGGAAATTAACACATCACCAGCATGGGTTAAGAGATAGTTAACTGTGCCTCACAGGTTTAATAGAATTCTATGACTTGACTAAAAAAATTAGCCAAGAAAGAGATGAGAGGACAGACTGCATTTTCTTGGACTGTCACTTTTTCTTGAACAGAAGAGTTACAGAAGACATGATCACCACTGACGAAAGTCTCAGGGTAGATATTGACAAACTACTTAGCATGGATGGAACATGAACAAGGGAACACAGGTGAAAACTAAGTCCCAAATTGAAGCACAAAAAGATTAGAAAAAAGTTTTTCAGAGTCCGAGTACTTAACAAATGGAATGCACTCGAAAGTGATGTGTGTTGGAGGACAGATTCCATATAAAGTTTCAAATATAGATATGACAGAGCCCAATAGGTTCAGGAGCCGGTAAACCAATTTATTGACAGTTAAGAGGCGGGACCAAGGAGCCGAAACTCAACCCCCCACAAGCACAACTAGCTAAGTACTCAGTCACGACAGGACAAAAGTTATTCAATCAGAAATCTACCAAGTCCCATGGGAGAGTCTGGAGGCCCCAATTGGTGCCACAACCAAGTTTTACAAGTCGCTCGCCTACACTCTGGCCTGTAGGTAATGGTGTTCACCACATGTCCCTCCTTCAGAATACAAAGAAATCACAATTGCATGAAACTGTATATCAATGAGAATCATTTTGAGAAATGCGGGGATTTGAGCCAGTCTTCTGCCTCCCAGATGGTTGCCTTAACTAAAGTTATATGGGGCTTTCAGACTCTCCCACTGGACTCTGTACAGTTCCAGGTCGAGTTGTTTTAGTCCTATCATGGCCAAGTGTTCAGACAAATATCTGGGAGTTACTAGAATGCCACAACAATAATAATTATTATTGTACTGTAATGTCTTCTCACAAACATAGTGACATATTTAGGGGTTTTATCCTAAGTAGTAGTAATAATAATAATAATAAACATGGCCTAGATGACTAGGGCATGTGCGTGGGAACACCCACCATATACAATAGGTTCGAACCCTCCTCGCTGCTCTTACATTTTCTCAATAATAATAATAATAATAATAATAATAATAATAATAATGATGATGATGATGATGATGATGATGATGATGAATATGATGATAAAATCCATAGGAGCCATAATGAGGGTTTGAATCTATGTGGTGGGTGTTCCTATGTACACGCCCTAGTCAACTAGGCCACGACATGATAAGGATTGTAACCTGAAGTTCGACTGAACACACAAGGATTTCGTGAGGCTTCTACTGAAGCCGGAACAAGATTTTCACACTAACCCCCCCATGCACTCTGGCTCTGTCATCTAGGACTTGCTCTCTCTCTGACGCTCCTCCTCCAATGCACATAGACTCTGTGTATCACACTCTAGCTCTGCCATAGAGCAAGAGTGCATGGGAAGATTGTGTGAAAATCCTGTTCTGGCTTCAGTAGAAGCCTCAGGAAATCCTTGAGTGTTCAGTAGAACTCCAGGTTGCAATCCTTATCATGTCGTGGCCTAGTTGTACCTGGGAACACCCAGCACATAGGTTCAAACCTTCATCGCGGCTCCTATGGATTTACTCATTGATGCAGTCACATTAGTGTGATTACTCTGTAATAATAATAATAATAATAATAATAAATGACAATGATAATAATAATAATAATAATAATAATAATAATAATAATACTACATGTAATTCTGAGAAAATCCACAGGAGCTGTGACGAGGCGTCAAACCTATGCGCTAGGTATTCTCTCACACACACACACACACACACACACACACACACACACACACACACACACACACACACACACAGTGATATGATCACTACGTACAAAATAGTAACAGGAATTGATAAAATCGACAGGGAAGACTTCCTGAGACCTGGAATTTCAAGAACAAGAGGTCATAGATTTAAACTAGCTAAACACAGATGCCGAAGAAATATAAGAAAATTCACCTTCGCAAATAGAGTGGTAGACGGTTGGAACAAGTTAAGTGAGAAGGTGGTGGAGGCCAAGACCGTCAGTAGTTTCAAAGCGTTATATGACAAAGAGTGCTGGGAAGACGGGACACCACGAGCGTAGCTCTCATCCTGTAACTACACTTAGGTAATTACACTTAGGTAATTACACACACACACACGCACGCACACACGCACACTCTCATCACATCTCCTGTAGATTATCTCATTGATATATTGTGTTACTCTCTTTATTCTGTCTAATAATAATAATAATAATAATAATAATAATAATAATAATAATAATAATTAATATCTGAATGAATTTGTGTTCCTCAGGTAAATGATGAAAATGCAAGGGTAAACCATGGAAGTAACTTTGTTGCGGTAAAAAAAAATGGCAAATTTTTCCCTTTTGGACATGGTAAGAAATTCCGCTAACTGGAAAGTTTGGCTAGCTTGAATACTGGGGTGGGCCCCTATATGTTTCACATTATCGAGTGTGACAGTAATTTGGTATTTTAAGATGATACATCTGCATGCAAAAGTCAATGAAAATACAGTACAACAAATATAAATATCCAAGCCAATTTTTTTTGTGTTCAAGTTTCATGTGGATGGGGAGGAGCGAGGTAACTAGTGAGTGGGTGTGTGGACTAGTGGCATCACAACTGTGATGACACTAGTGAGTGGGTGTGTGTGGACTAGTGGCATCACAACTGTGATGACACTAGTGAGTGGGTGTGTGTGGACTAGTGTCATCACAACTGTGATGACGCACCATCTAAGGAAGAGGGATGTGATGCTCAAGTTACATGCTTTATATATTAGCTGTTTCACTTTAGTTTACACAATGTGTGGAATAACTCAATTTATTTAACCCTTAAAATGTTGTTTAGTCACGCATTGATTTTAGTTATTATGACCTGGTTTTTATATAAAAATGGTGTAAATACAGTATGATTATAATACATCCATATGATTTTAATGGAGTTAACTTAAACCACTGAAAAAATCTGCTATCATTTTTAATGATTTAAAATAGATGAGGGTATATCTTATACTACCACCAAGGCAATTCCTGCCAAATCACAATTTGGTGTTTCCTGCCAGCATCTGAAGAATTTCAAGATGACATTACCAGACAGCAGCAGCAGCAAATGAATGTATTGTAGAACACTACCTTTGAGGTCTGCCACCAACAGTATGTATTTAGATCTGTTGTATCTGCATGCAATAGGTGTGTATGTATTACATTGTTGGCCTAAATTCAGTACTCAATCACTGTTTTTAGTCAATTGTGTGTAAGAAAAATTTGAATTATTCCACATTTAGTGTAAACTATAGTTAAACAGCAAACTTATGAACCTTATAACACGATTGTGAGAGCTCGAGGTGACCTATCTTCCCAGTACTTTTTGTCATATGACACTTTAAAACCACTGACAGCTTTAGCATTCACCACCGTCTTCCATAACTGATTTCAACCATCTACCACACTGCAAAAATGAATGTTCAAATATTTTTTCTGCACCTTTGTTTCCTTAGCTTGAATCTATCCCTCTTATTCTTGAAGTTGCCAGTCACAAGAATGCCTCTGTAAATTTTGTTGATTCATATTCCTATTTTGTGTGTAGCGATCATATTGCCTCTTTTTCTTCTATCTTCTAGTTTTGGCATATTTAACATCTCTAGCCTTTCCTCATAGTTTTGGTTTCTCAGTTCAGGAAGCCATTTAGTTGCATGTCTTTGCACCTTTTCCAGTTTACTGATGTGCTTCTTGAGATATGGGCACCATACAACTGCTGCCTTTTCCAACTTTGGTCTCACAATTGTCATGAACAATTTCTTTAACATTTCACTGCCTATACAAGTATATACTATTATTGGAAAGCTTAGCATATGCTTCTCACACACTACTCTTCATGTGGTCCTCAGGTGACAATTTTCTATCCAGGACCATCAGTGTGTGAATAAACCCAACACTTTGAAGTGTTCAACCTCATTATTATAAGGGTTTGGCCTCCGTTTTCTCTCTTTGTCACTGAGAATTGTTCACTTACTATTCAACCCGTTCTCGCACTTGCTTACAGTCAATATTGGCTTATTTAATAAGTGCATATGTGACATACTAATTGATTGTGAATATTTTAGTTTACCTTGCAAAGCTTCATAGAAAACACCGACCTCACCTAACCTTCTTAGTATGTTAAGATAAGCATCTTATTGCTTCTTATTTACAATTATTACTTAACCTATCAACGGTATAGGTTAAGGTTAAGTAATAATTGTAATTAAGAAGCAATAAGATGCTTATCTTAACATACTAAGAAGGTTAGGTGAGGTCGGTGTTTTCTATGAAGCTTTTCAAGGTAAACTAAAATATTCACAATCAATTAGTATGTCACATATGCACTTATTAAATAAGCCAATATTGACAGTAAGCAAGTGCGAGAACAGGTTGTACTATTAGTGAGAAGTTTTACCGGTTGTTGCCTGTGATGTGTGTTTAATCAAATATATGTAAAGCACATGCCTAACTGGTTTTTTGAATCCCTCAATACAAAATAATTTTGTGTAATTCACTTGCAATGAACTCTTATAACTGAAGCACCACCATTTTTATATTTTGTTTCCTATTGTTTCCTATTTTTAAATGACGTAACATAAGTGCAAGCAGTTCATCCTTCCAACAATATTGTCCAGAAATAGAGTCAAACACCAGTGGGAAACACTAAATTGTGATTTGACGAGCCACACAAGCCACTACTACAACATAACCCCCATTACATACTATGTAATTAAACACAAATGCAGAATTTTTTCATGGGTCTAGATTAACTTAATTACATCTACAGTATCTAGATACTGTATATGATAACCATATTTGCACCATCTATATAAAAACCAGGTGATAATAACTCAAGTCAACATATAACCACATTACCTCAGAGATCAACGTATGAAGCGGCAATTTACGTTCAAGTTCACGTCAAAAAGAACTGTCATCATTATAATACTCAGAATACGACAGGAGAGTTCTAATTCAAGACTCTTAGGTGTGCCTCCTTCATTAAGTCTGGACCTTCATTATCTCAGCCTTAAGCCTCACTTAACATCTGCCTAAATTTATACCAACATACTCACCTAGACATTATATTGGATGTTATTCCAAGATGGAGTAACATCTGAGCCCCTTGGTGAACACCCTTATACTGTACAATATTCTCATGACGGCCAAACCACACATCAGAAAATATGTGGTTTCGTCATCATATCTTCAGCCAAATTATTGCAACTCATCATCTGCAATATTCTTGTGTCCTTAGTTTACAGCTTTAGTGAACTTTCACTGATATATTTTCAAATAAAATAAATAATTAATGGGGTGGGATGATATGTCAGCATATTCAACCATATTGCCTTGTACAACTTATGTTTAGACTTTAGCTAGTTGAATAATGGGATGGAAAGTTTACCACCAAAGGGTTAAATAACAATTACCACCATGTGATTTAAATTCCTTCTCCAGATGTGAGAATTAATTGTCAAGTTGTCAATCATAGCTAAAACCTCTCAAACAATATAGCATGATGTAGATTCCCAAAATATATGTGAAACAAATCTAAAACAATTTTAATCTAGGAATGTAAGTGTTACCATACTTAAAACAATATTGTAAATTAATATGGAGCCTCAAGTATACAGAAAATTCCAAAATGAAAACATTAAATGATCCCATGACAGGTGTACCAATTTGATAAATTCTGACTAAGCAAATGTGACTGGCAAATGACTAGGACATCAACATTCAAAATTTAATCTTTGTTACTAAATCTGGCACGAGGAGACTACAAAGCTTTAATGTAAACTATTCAAGTTCTCAATGTAAAGGTGTATCAAATCTGAAAACATTAGTAAAAGAATGGTTGAGGTACTAAGAGGAAACTTACTTCAAAAATGCAAATACTGTACTGGTGTTGTGTAGTAAGTTCCCATATCTTTGATAAGGGGGTATAATCTATTCTCTTTACCCATTTGAAACAGGAAAAATTGAAGACTACAGTGCGTGCAAATTTCCCAAAGGCTGCTCAGCACATTGCCTAATACTGTTCACAGTTTGATACAGACTAGCACATTCATTGTCGATATAATGTTTGCCAAACAAAGAATCAAAACTGACAAAATTCATTCCCAAAGAAACCTTCATGAGGTTACATTAATCAATAACAATAATTTAGATAAATTGTCATCCACACTTCCATGGAAATAAACATTCCATTCACCTGGGCTCTAGGAGACTCAACCCACCCCATGCGTGTGAGGCCCAAGCTCTAATGACTGGGCTATTGAGTAGTCTTAACAAGGAAAGTTTCCAGAAGCAGCAGCAGTTTGGCAGCAGGATGCTGCATCTGGAAACTTTCATCATCAACACTACTCAATAGTCTATAGAGTTTCAGCCTCACACGCGGGGGGTCTGCAGTTCGAGTCTCCTACAGCCCAAGTGAATGGAATAATTTAGATTGTACTGAACAAAGGCATAAATATATGAAGTATGAAATCAGTGGGCAAACTCATTCTCAGGTGAGCATTATCCAAAAGCAGGCACAAGAAAAGAAAAACAAGAGAAAACAGGTCAAAAATATTAGATATATTCCTGACAAGTATACTTAATACACACTAATTATCATTCTTAAAACACTTTACAGTTATTAAGAAAAGTGTAATATATTCTTGCATGCATGATGGCATACAATATAAAAGAAAAGAATTCATGTAATTGTCACTAATAAAAATCAAACATGCTTAGACTAGGCTGGTCCAACTGCAAACGCTGTAAAGTTCTGTACCTTCAGAAACCCAATGAGGACTATATTAATACTTTGACACTTTCCTAGAAACTTTTTATACCGTGACAAATAACTTAACTACTGTATGTTTAAATTTTTCTGGGATATGACGAAGACGTACGATGTCAGTTTTTACTCTAGTCTATTAGCATCAAGAGCAAAATGTATATTGGTGTTTTAGATCAGTAATGGAGAAGAAAATCTTGCCAATACACTCACCAAAAGGGTTAATATTAAGTCAAAATAGTGTGGCAGTAAATGAAAGATATACAATATTATCACTTGGCCAGTGCTAACAGTTGAACATGAAGCAATATATACTCCATAGTGTTGGAAGGCATGCATTTAGCACAACATAAAATCTAATCACAGAAGCACATTTCCAAAAATATTACATAGTTAAACTCATAGTTCTAATATGTTTATATTCTGATTTGAAGTTTGATAATTTACATATCACCTATCAGCTGATGTTTTAAGATTCACCAGAAAAATAAAACTGCATTACAGTATGTATAATGTACGTTAATTTGAATGGACAGTTTGCTCTTAATGCTGACAACTAAAAACTGAGATCATAACCCCAGAAGTGAACATTGATACAGTATTGCAATATAGAAGGTGTAGTATGTAAGGTGATGGCAAACATGGTGATTACTGCATTGTCAACCCACACTAAATCTACTTACTACAACGACAAGAAAGCTACTCTGTATAGGGAAGTAGAAAATAATATTTGCATGAGATAAGAAGCTAGACATATATCTATAAAAATAGAGGTAATACAGTGAAGCATGAATGAATGCTAATTTGAATCATTCTTAAGAGTACAAAAATTTGACATTAAAGTCTTATTGTGAAAACTTGTGATAGTCTAGTGCTTCTTTAAAAAAATTTGACATTCTACTACTGTAGCATAACATTTAATAATTTAGCAAGTGTATCTCTGTAATTATAGTATCAAAAGTGCATACCTATCTAGTCAATACCTATCTTGGAAAACAAAACCACATACAAGTTTATAATGTAATGGGTGATTGTTTCCTTCATTGTAGACTATTCCAAATAATCTCATTATATACTCTTAAATAAAATGAAACACAAAAATAATTAAGAAGGCATTGAAAGGACACACTTTTTGTTAGAATTACTCAACACACCGAACCACAGATCAATTGGTAAGAGAACCTTCTAGTTCATGAACTGTCACCCTCTTCAGGCTGGGCAGGGCTGTACTCATCACCCCTACTGGCTTCTATATAATTCATCTGATCATGATAGCCTCGAGTTTCTACTGGGTATGGTACTTGTGTACTTGAAGTTTCTGGAATATTATGATGAAGGCCACGCGTATCCGTTGAGGACAATTCTTGACTGGGCGTTTCTGAATCGGAAGATGATGATGATGGGATGATAACATGCTCTTGACCACTTGAATCAATATGAAGCATTAAATTATTTAAGTCTACATTTGGGCCCAACTGTGAGGGGTCTATGTATAGTGTGCGTGTAGTTCCATCCTCCATGGTAGCCTCGACTGCAACGAGATCATTGCCTCCTTCACTGAGTGCTGGTGTGGGAACAGTGGGGACAGTGTTGCCATGGGCATCCACTGCAACTAACATGTAAGTTGTACCTGAGCTTGAAGTTGTTGCTGCATCACTTGTCTTCACTGGCTCACTGCTATCTTCAAGCTCACCTTCTCTCTTTGAGTGGGAGGGTTCTGGGGATGAACAAGTTTCATCCAAAGCCGTTTCACTAGTTTCTTTTATTGGATCGTATCTTCTCTCTTTTAATCTCAATGTCTCTGGAGCATCATCAACAACTGCAGCACTTTCAGCTAGTCTCATATTAAGATTTTGTGTAAATTCATCAATATTTTTATTTAATATGTCAATATTCTGAGTTAGCTGTTCATTGTCATCAGTTGATTCACGAGTTTGCTGTTCCATGTCCTCATTCGGCTCATCAGTTAGTTGTTCCATGTCCTCATTTGATTCACTAGTTAGCTGTTCTATGTTCTCATTTGATTCATGAGTTAGCTGTTCCATTTCATCGTTTGATTCACGAGTTAGCTGTTCCATTTCATCATTTGGTTCATGACTTTGGTGTTCCATGTCATTATTTGATTCACAAGTTAGCTGTTCTATGTTCTCATTTGATTCATGAGTTAGCTGTTCAATGTCATGAGCTGATTCATGAGTTAACTGTTCCATGTTTTCAGATGATTCATGAGTTAGCTGTCTCATGTCATCAGCTGATTCATGAGTTAGCTGTTCCACATCATCAGCTGGTTCATGAGTTAGCTGTCCCGTGTCATCAGCTGATTCATGAGTCAGTTGTTCCACGTCATCAGCTGATTCATGAGTTAACTGTTCCATGTTTTCAGGTGATTCATGAGTTAGCTGTCCCATGTCATCAGCTGATTCCTGAGTTAGCTGTCTCATGTCATCAGACGATTCATGAGTTAGTTGTCCCATTTCATCAGGTGATTCATGAGTTAGCTGTCTCATGTCATCAGGTGATTCATGAGTTAGCTGTCCCATGTCATCAGATGATTCATGAGTTAGCTGTCTCATGTCATCAGATGATTCATGAGTTAGCTGTCTCATGTCATCAGATGATTCATGAGTTAGCTGTCCCATGTCATCAGATGATTCATGAGTTAGCTGTCTCATGTCATCAGATGATTCATGAGTTAGCTGTCCCATGTCATCAGATGATTCATGAGTTAGCTGTCCCATGTCATCAGATGATTCATGAGTGTCACCACCAAGATGGGAAGTAGATGGTTCATCAGTATTATGATCAGGTTCATCTGCATATTCATGTAAATTTTCAATGTAATCAGATGGAGCACCAGAGTCTTCTTCAGTTGGAGCATCATTGTAAGCACCTAGTTTATCATCATCATCTGCTGAACTTTGAACATCTTCATTTGGTTCATCAAAACATTGAACCGATTCATAAATATCTTTTACTGGGTTATGTGTGTCACTTCTTGGTTCAAAAATACCTTCTCTTAAATTATGACTGTCCTCAACTGGTTCATAATTAACTTCAACTGGCTTGTCGCTCTCACCGTATGATCTGTCGGGTGATCTCTCGCCATCTTGACATGGATCATCGGTGACTTCAACATATTCTGGTATAATATGAGATGGCATATTATTCTCTTCAATAAGTTCACTTGTGTCTTCTATTGGTTCGTCCATGTTTTCTGTTGGTTCGTAATGTGTATTTAAAGAACTTTGCTTCACTTCATCTTCCTCGGGTTCTGGGGTTAACTCCTCTTGTCGATAATTATAGTTATGGAACTGAGATTTTCCATCTGCTACATTACTAATTTTTGGAGATGGAGTATTTTCTGTGTGATCCTCACTCCCAATTTCAACAATGTGTTTCTCTTTTTGTGTACATTCTGCATCATTTTCTTTGTCTTCCTGTGAATTCTGAGAATTTGTACCCCCAGTTCTTTGTGCTTTTCCTTCCTCTCCTTCACAAAGGCTTTTAATATCACTCTCTTGCTCTACTTCCTCATCCTCTGACCCTGATCCAGAGCCCCTGGAATAATATTTTTCCCAGTCACTGTAATCACTGTCTGAATCATTATTAATGTAATTCGAAGTCTGACTGGAAGAAGGAGTAACTGGAATTGCAGGTGTGGCTGCAAGAAGAGCATCAAAGGCAGAGTTGATATCAGATGCCTTTGGCATGGGTCTTCTTTCATACTTGGGCTGCGGAGGAGGATAGTCATCAACATCGCTGTAACCATCATCGGACTCATTTTGCCTTTCAGCTTTATCTAAACCTGCAGGAAGAGTTGTAGTTCTGTCTCCATCTATTACATCATCATCATCATCGTCCCAATCCATCAGCAGTTGCTGTGTATCTTGCAAATCTCTCTTAGAACCTGATACATCACCATTGGTATGTGCATGATCCAAGTTCTCTTTGCCCTTTGCATCTTTGCCCTTCTTTTTTATATTTTTATTTGCTTTTGGGGTGCCTTGTTTTCTTTTCCTTCGCCCAGGTATCTTGATACCTGTATCATAATTATATACCTTTTTTATGTGAGCTTTATTGTGCCAAATAATTACATTTAGTCTGGAACACGTGTAACCACAGCTATAACACTTGTACCAATTTGATGCTGCACGCATATCTTCTTCGGCATTCTCTCTCTTAGGCTGTTCAAGAATGCGCACCTTATGTTGAATCACAACCCTCTGCAGCTTATTACCTATACTTCTGCTGCCAACCATCTTGTACACAACAGCTTGCCCAATATCTGATCCCCTCTTGGTACCCTCCTCCTTTTTCTTCTTGGGTTTAGACGGTCCAAAACCCAGGTCACTATAGTCTATTCTGCGCTTACCCGCAACCTCACCCAAGGTGTGTAGGATGTTCATGTCCCCTCCTGTAAGTTTCTCTGCTGTCACCACATCAGCTTCAAACTTGGCCAGTAGATCCACTTCTCCTTGACTCTGGTTTCTGTTGATACCTAAATCATAAAAAAAGCCTTAGCTATATATTAGTTTTAATTTTAAGAGAACAATTTTAAAGACTATCATTTATCATACTTGGCTTCCCCCAAATTAATGAACATAAAACACTTACCTAACAAAACACACACAAGTAAAAATGCAGATTATTATTTACTGTTGTCAATTAGCTATTTTGAAACAATACAACATTGCACCTATACAGTAAAACTAAAATACCTTGCCTTATTTTTAAACAAATAACAATTTTTAAACTAGGCCCAAGTGAACAGTGCAATCCTAGTTTTAGGCTTGCACTGTAAGAGACAATACTACTATGACACGTAATGATCCAAAGCTATGACAAACAATATACCCTGCCATTATTATTAACACTATGAAGAATTAACACACACAACTGTTTATTACAACATGCAAATCTTCCCTCATCAATCCACTATATTTTCCAACTTCAGTATCTTTAATAAAGAGTCTTGGGAAGTTTGTTAACTCCATGATTAAACACTGTGGAGCAAAATTGACACAATGCTTTTCTCAGAGCTGCATTGTGTCAGATGTCAATAACATTGGGTTACAATAATTCAGATGTCGCATCTGAATTATTGTAACCCAAAAAATCTGGACAATAATATTTTGGATAACTTCTGGGTTTTTTAAAGATTTTTTACAATTCTAGAGTTCATAAAATATTATATTTTTATGTTCCTAATTTTTGTTTTCTTTGCTAAAAATTATGAAGGCTTGCAGGGAATTTTCTAGAGTAAAATAAACAATATATAATAGCTTTATCTTTAATTCACTGTAAACCACATTTGGTAACCCTTAGCCTGCACACCCACTTTTAGGTTGTCATCCTGGTGCACATAAAGAAAAAATATTAAATCATAAAAGAGACGTTTCAGAACTGTAGGCAGTGCGGTTGAGGAGACCAGAAGCCAGGCATACTACACCCAAAGGGTCAGGAAGAGGAGACCTGGACAAAACCAAGGTAGAATTCATCAACACCTCTAATTCTGGGTTCCTAACAAGATGGGCCCTGCTATGGGGACTTTAACTAGGCAAACAACTGAAACTGCTGAAGGTGGGCAAAATGAACCTGCCAAGTGGTAGCTGCCCAATATGGTTGAACATCATGAGGAGAGTGAGAGAGAAGAGCCACATGGGTAGAGTAAACCCTCAAAGAGACAGAGCCATAACTATCACAGACCCAACAGGCAACATGGCCAGAGACAGAAAGAATGACCATTGCCCCATGACACGGACAATGAACAGCCCTGAAACTCACATAAGGCAGGTTCATAAGGGTACATCCATAGGCCACACTGAAACCCACAGGGGCTTCCCAGGCCCCAAAGAACAAGCCAAGCAAGACATCCAGGCACTGGGGTCACTCACCAGATGTAATAAAGTAAACCAATACAGCCCAGTCAATGCAGTTGTGAGGCAGACCACAGAGTGGGTGAAAAGACCCATGACTTACCCAAATGAAGAGTCTTCACTCTAGAGGTTTGACCTCTAAGAGAGTGAGCCTGCAAACACCAGAGAACTCTGTCAGTTCAGGGGCAGCACTTGTGTGCACTCAAGAAAAGGAACCCTGAGCACACAAGCACCCTACAAGCCAGGTCCACACAACAAAAACCTGATAGAAAACACACAAGTGAAGCAGAACTAAAACCAAGAACAGCAGCAAGCAAATGGCTCCTGCAGAGCAGAATCCAAGGATGGCTGGCACTTTGCCTGCATCAGTGATAAAAGTGGTGTAGCAGACCATAGAGCACTGGGAGCTGTGCCCTACCCCCATCCAATTTTTGAATGGGGTTAGAACTCACACTTGTTTCAAGAGATTCGATTACTTGTTTACACCGTTGGTGGAGTTCGTTTGGCAGTTTTTGAGGTTTTGATCTCTTTAAAACCAGCAGTGGTCTGTACTGGTACTCTGACATCCTGGGTGCTTACCCGGTGGGGTAACAGTGTGTCACCTGCACCTCAGTGAGGGGGGTCAGATTCTGACTCTGGTCCCCAGTAGGCCAAACAAAATTCTACAGCTGATGTAACCTACTAGTTGGGAGCAATCTATGCGAGATAGCCAAAGGGCGCCACAATGGGCTCCCCAGAAAAGGCTTAGTGCTTCTATGGTTCCCAGCCTCAATCGCTTTTCTACATCAATTTAGCATGTTGGTACATGTTATGATACTTTACCTCTCCTTCCTCCTATCTCATCTATCAAGACTGCTCTTGCTGCAGACATCTTTTCTACTCATAAATGAAGCAGAATCCAAAAAAAAATAAATGAAAATGTCTTGAGCAGCCAGAGATCAATGGCAACAATGCAGGAGAATGAATAGGCTTGAGACATGTCAACAGTGTGTGATAGAACTGGGTGACCAATACCTAAGTTACATTCTACTTAGTACATTGCATCATTGTTAATATAGTTTAAGTACAGATAACAAAAAACTAGCATACAGTACTGTATTTATTTACTAACATTTACTAATAAAGGTAAAATACTAATAATTTTGATAAAATATTGTCGAGCATTAATCATAGTCTGTATTTTCTTGACACATTTTGAAAATATTTGATATAGAACTAGAACAATTGTTTCTAGTTGTAAAATCTTCCAGATTTCTAAGGTTTCCACTATATTGAACTTCAGATATTTAAGGTCAAACTATACTGTATTTACCTGCAAATAGAGTACACAAACAAATGCTGTTGCTGTACTTACATTGCCCTCTCCTAATGAATTCTTCCTTCCTCTCATTGTTGTAAGGGCATATGTGCTCCGATTTGTGAACATCTTGACTGAAATGATAAAGAAATTAATTAATATTAGGAACCATCCTAAAATTCACTACGACTACACTACTTGCTTATTCCTAAACGGGGTCTCCCACTTTACTAATGTCCACATAATGAACGCTAATACGAACAACCTCCCAACATTCTGGTTTTGCATCACAATCCATTATTCAACTATTTTATATATTTATATATTTATATACTGTAACCACGTGATTATCCGGAATTCGAACATCCAGAAAAAGCCCTTATATGGCCAAAATCGTGAACGGATAAAGTTCTCAATATCCGGCCAAAATTGCCATGGGAGCCGGATAAAAGCTGGTTTAGCTGGATAAAAATTTGGCCGTACCGTATTAATCCCGTCTGCCTGTGGCTCTAGACGCATGGTGGAGGAGGTGGGGTGGGTGGGTGGGTGGTGTCGGGAGTGTGGGAGGGGAACGTCGGGAGGGACCACATGGGTACAGGAATTACCATTTATTTTAGAACAATTAATCATAGCCAAAAACAAATGAAATAAGTACAGTGGTACCTCATATAATGATCGCCCCAAAAGGCGAACATTTTGGGTAACAAACGGCCCGATCGGCGTCAAATCTTCCTGTATGGTGAACACTCGTTTGAGTAACGTCAACACCACATGGTGGGGTCGCGCTGCTTCTTGCACATTCTTAGACGCCTCCGACGATGCACATAAATTATGTTGTTCTTGTTTAAAGATGCTAATGATGCTGGGATATAAAGGGGAGACTGCTGAGATGTTGCAAGGCATTGACGTTTCTTAAAAAAAAAGAAATGAAATTTCTGATATACAACAAATGTCAAAAAGGTTCGTTCGGTGGTCGGCAGGTAGGCTGCTCCATGTTTCTTACATAAAAAAACGTAAATAATAAAAAATGAAGAATTTTGAAAACCAGAACAAATGTCAAAAAGGTTCGTTCGGTGGTCTACAGGTCGGCTGCTCCATGTTTTTTAAATAAAAAAAATAAAAATAAAAGAACTGTTGAAACAATTTGAAAAATGGACAAATGCCATAAAGGTTCGTTCAGTGTTTGTCGGGTAGGCTGCTCCATTATTGAGACGTAAGTGACAAATACAAAACAAATGGAACACATTTGAAACAAAGAAAGATTGTCATAATGGAAGATTGTCATAATGGAGCAGCCTACCCAACAAACACTGAATGAACTTTTTGCTATAACGAATACGAAAGACAAGGGCTGCTGGCTGGGTCAGTACTGCGTGAGCAACTATTTGTGGCACACGTGCCTATGGCTCCCAAACACCTGTCCGACATGGTGCTGAAAGATTGCGCTCAGTCGGTGAAATTCAGATCTTGTTGTTTGAAGAACATAATGGTCATAATATTGATGAAGCTAGGCGCAATAAGGACTTAACACAACGGTCGGATGCAAGTGATACAGCACCTATGAGGATGATACAGGGAGTGTATCCAGTTGTAGCTCTGAGCCCCACCCTTGTCATCTCCAATTTATATAGATGATACATAGATGAATCGTTTTCTGCATTCGGTGATGATGCATCTGATACAAATAGCATAGATGAACAGTGTTAGCGGCTTCCATGGTGGTGTTTTCCATAGATATTTTCAAGATTACCTGAATCTCTTCCTGACTGATGGACACTCTTTGAGGCTAGCTGAATCTCTTCCTGTGTGGGACCTTACAAAGTACTAAAGCCAAGGGTGCACGCAAGTGCGTTATTTGCAAGCACACAGAACGATGAAACAGGAAGCGAAAATCTATCTGTAGCTGGTGCAACGAGAGCAAAGTCGTGCTGTGTACCATGGACTACTTCGTTGATTATTACGCACCTCCAAAGTACTGAGTGTAATACAGTGTGTTCCTGTGAAATTAGTATGTGAAACTGTACATATTGTAATTTTAGTGAATTTTTACCACGTAATATTGTGACAATAAACATTTATTGTGGACACATTACTGACACATGTATCACAGTTTCATGGAAAATTATGAACATTCTACTGTATACATATTGTAAAGGTCACAAATATGCATCATATACGATAAAAGAAACAAATAAAACCGCATTGGAAATACTGTACATAAAAAAAATATTTGAAAATATATTTGTGGCAACACACGGTGCTCGAATGGCCTGCGCGACCGTGTCTGGGAGCTTCACACACGGCGACCAGCCCCCGATGATGTCACAGCCCACCTTGTCCAAGCCCTCACAGCCAAAGTATGTGGAATTTGGTAATTATTTTTACATAGACATGTTCAGGGAAGGTAATTTATCATTTTACAATGAAAAATGACTTTTTGGGAACATTTGAAGTCATGCACACTGGGGAAATTTCACAATAAACACAGTGCATCACACTGGTTACATGCGGACATTCGTTTTGTATGACATACGTTTCACATGACGAACACGGAACAGATTAAATTCATTATTCGAGGTACCACTGTACTAGTAATTATGTAATAACAAATAAATAAGTTTCCTAAAACCACTGTGCACAGGCTGAAGTTTCCTTCAAAAATATTGTGAGTTTTTTTCCTCCCGGCGGCATACGTAACGTGCTATAGCTGCCCCAAGTGGACCCGTCCAACATTGGTCAACCCATGTGCTCCCGTCCCTCGTGTTGCAACACAGTGCTGTGCCATTAGTGAAATATTTTTTTAAATAACTTTTATTTTCATAGTAACTTTGAACATTTTTGGCCAAGACTATGTCTGGTAGCAGCATTAATCATTCTGGAGGTGTTAAAAGGAAGAAAGTTGTCCTAACAATTAAAGACAAGTTACTGTTATACACCTCAACCAGTGAGGCATCACAGTGCAGCGCCATTAGTGAAATATTTTTTTAAATAACTTTTTTATTTTCATAGTAACTTTGAACATTTTTGGCCAAGACTGTCTGGTAGCAGCATCAATCGTTCTGGAGGTGTTAAGAGGAAGAAGATTGTCCTAGCAATTAAAGAAAAGTTACATGTTGTTCAACCAGTGAGGTGTCACAGGCAGCCAAATGCCTTTAACAAGTGAGGCTTCACAGGCAAGCCAAGCGTCTTCAACAAGTGAGGCGCAAACAAGCGCCTTCAACTAGTGAGGCATCACAGGCAAGCCATGCGCCTTCAACAAGTGAGGCGCAAGCAAGCGCCTTCAACAAGTGAGGCGCAAGCAAGTGCCTTTAACAAGTGAGGCCTCACAGGCAAGCCAAGCGTCTTCAACAAGTGAGGCGCAAGCAAGTGCCTTTAACAAGTGAGGCTTCACAGGCAAGCCAAGCGCCTTCAACAAGTGAGGCGCAAGCAAGTGCCTTTAACAAGTGAGGCCTCACAGGCAAGCCAAGCGTCTTCAACAAGTGAGGCGCAAACAAGCGCCTTCAACTAGTGAGGCCTCACAGGCAAGCCAAGCGTCTTCAACAAGTGAGGCGCAAGCAAGTGCCTTTAACAAGTGAGGCCTCACAGGCAAGCCAAGCGTCTTCAACAAGTGAGCCGCAAGCAAGTGCCTTTAACAAGTGAGGCCTCACAGGCAAGCCAAGCGTCTTCAAGTGAGGCACAAGCAAGCGCCTTCAACCAGTGAGGCGTCACGGGCAAGCCAAGCGCCTTCAACAAGTGAGGCGCAAGCAAGCGCCTTCAACCAGTGAGGCGTCACGGGCAAGCCAAGCGCCTTCAACAAGTGAGGCGCAAGCAAGCGCCTTCAACAAGCGAGGCCTCACAGGCAAGCCAAATGCTTTCAACCAGTGAAGCTTCAGCAGCTGGCAGTCAAAACTAACTTTCCTTAATGAACTGAACAGTAATTTTAAGTGTTAATTTTAGTGTTGTGTTAGTATAGGTTATGTAAATTGTTAAGAATTCTTAACTTCGAGATGTGTGGCATCAATCAAGAAGACAAACACCAACAAAGTAAGATGAAGTGTCTAGTTGAATATTTAATAATTATATGTGGCAAGGCAATTCAAATTATGTTGTTTGTATTATAAAAATAGTTGGAAATTGTCACTTTCGGACTCATAAGTGAAAAGTACCATTATCCGGAAAACGTGATTATCCGGTTGGGGGGCCCTTCCCATATAGTCCAGATAATCTAGTGGAGACAGAGTGAGTGAGTGTGTGTGTAATTACCTAAGTGTAGTTACAGGATGAGTGCTACGCTCGTGGTGTCCCATCTTCCCAGCACTCTGTCATATAATGCTTTGAAATTACTGACGGTTTTGGCCTCCACCACCTTCTCACCTAACTTGTTCCAACCGTCTACCACTCTATTTACAAAAGTGAATTTTCGTATATTTCTCCGGCAGCTTTGTTTCGTTAGTTTAACCCTTAACATGCTCGGGATTTAATATCCTGTCATCCCCACAGGCGCATGTCATTTTGAAAAAAAAAAATATTTTTTCTTCCTAACCTGTTAATTTGTGTTCACTGATCACGGGAAAAATAATAAAAAAAATCGTAAGTGGCATATATTGCCCGCTATAGGGCGGGGAAGTCTGGCAAATTATAGGCGCTGACTCAGCATGCGTCCCAGGCGGTCTGTTGCTCGCCAGCTGTCAGGCTGGAGTTGCCACAAAGAGACAATTGCCTAATTATTTCAATGTCTCCGATTGATTTTTCATAGTTCTTTTGCTGTAATATTATTCAATAGCGTGTAGTTTGATATATTTATATAATAAAATGAGTGAATCATTGCTGTACTCAAAAATATGGTGTGCATATTGTTGATTCAATTATGTTCATCAATCAGTGAACAAATACTTTGTCGGTTATTACACTATAAGCACAGGTTATATATAAGTATCTGCATGTTTTGTTCACTATAACGAACCAATAAGTAGCTATTATGAGTCAAAAAGTAATGAGGAGTGACCGCCGTGTACCAGCCAGCCACTCACGCCCTCCCTCCAGTCATCTGACTCACCCACATTCTCCTCCCACAATACTGTTTTTGCTATAATTCACTATATACAGACGTTATATACAAGTATTATTATAGTTTGGGTTGGTGGTGTTGATCCTT